GTGGCCCGACTCTTAGGTACATGAGCATCTACATGACGAACCTTTACAACCAGGTTCTCAACCTGGGCAGCAATATCTTGCCACAATGCGGCAGCCCAGATTGGTTTGCCTCTGCGCTGCCAGTTGCTCTGCTTCCATTGCTGCAGCCACCCCCACAGGGCATTTGCCACCATCCATGAGTCAGTATAGAGATAAAGGACTGGACAGTTTTCTCTTTCAGCAATATCTAAAGCCAGCTGGATGGCTTTCACCTCTGCAAACTGACTCGACTCCCCTTCTCCTTCAGCAGTTTCTGCGACTTGTCGTATAGGACTCCATACAGCAGCTTTCCACCTCCGATGCTTTCCCACAAGACGACAGGACCCATCAGTGAACAGGGCATATTGCTTTTCATTTTCTGGCAATTTATTATACAGTGGGGCCTCTTCAGCACGTGTCACCTCCTCCTCTGGTGATATTCTAAGGTTTTTTCCTTCTGGCCAGTCCATGATCACTTCCAAGATTCCTGGGCGACTGGGGTTTCCTATTCGAGCCCGTTGTGTGATCAATGCAACCCACTTACTCCATGTAGCATCAGTTGCATGATGTGTAGAGGGGACCCTCCCTTTGAACATCCAGCCCAACACCGTGAAAGCAGTGAAAATAGGAAAGCCTGATTTCCTGCAGATTTGCATCTCACAACTGAATGACTGGTCATGCTGGTTTTGACTGGGATAGAGTTAATTTTCTTCATAGTAGCTAGTATGGGGCTACGTTTTGGATTTGTGCTGAAAACAGTGTTGATAGTACAGGGATGTTTTAGTTACTGCTGAGCAGTGCTTACACAGAGTCAAGGCCTTTTCTGCTTCTCACCCCACCCCACCAGCGAGTAGGCTGAGGGTGCACAAGGACTTGGGAGGGGACACAGCTGGAACAGCTGACCCCAGCTGACCAAAGGGATATTCCATACCATATGACCTCATGCTCAGCATATAAAGCTGTGGGAAGAAGAAGGAAGGGGGGGACATTCAGAGTTACAGCATTTTGTCTTCCCAAGTAACGGTTACACACGATAGAGCCCTGTTTTCCAGGAGATGCCCGAATGCCTGCCTGCTGATGGGAAGTAGTGAATGGATTCCTTGTTTTGCTTTACCTATTAGACTGTCTTTATCACAACCCATGAATTTTCTCTCTTTTACTCTTCTGATTTTCTCCCCCTTCCCACCGTGGGGGAGTGAGTGAGTGGCTGCATGGTACTTAGTTGCTGGCTGGGGTTAAACCACGACACTGGTTAACTGAGCTATGGTGAGATATTCTGCTAGCTCTGTGGGTACCTATAATCTCTCCCGAAATATTCTGACAACAACCCATAGGGTGAAACATTTGACTGCGGAAGCTGACTGATGGAATCAAGAATTGCTATCCAATACAGATTTATCCCCTAATAAGCTATAAATTTATTGCAATTTGGAGACCTTAACAAATCTGTCAATGTGGTTTCTATTAGCCAACCAAGTCAAGAGTAGTTACTAGGGCAGACAAACAACTGCATAAACACCATGAGTTTAAGTAATTTTGGCTTCCAGAGGAAGCCAAAGGAAAAGAAAAATCCTGCAACATGCAGTGATAAAGATGCCCTGCATGAGCTCTGCCTCCATCACCTGGCACCTCTGCGAAATGAACACTGAAGGTAATCCTTTTACACAATGGCAGTATTTTAGACCTCCTTCCATACAAATATAAATTAGTATATGAAGTGTGGATGAGGCCTTTTGGGTTGGAATATCTTCCTGCAGATAGATCAGAAGTAAAAAGTTGAGTATTAGAGGACGGGTTTAAAAATCTGCCATGTGACCCTCAGTGTTTCCATAGGGACACCCTTATCAGCTTTCTTAAGTCTAGGCCATCTACCACATGTGAAGCAATGCTCAGGATAGAAGTTATTTCATCAAAAGAGTGGAGACTGACACCCCTGCAGAGTATAGGAGATTCATGTTAACTAGACACGTGCATGGCCGTGGGTTCATGGGTTATCATGCACTCAAAAGGGTACTGCCCACGCCACTCGTAAACCAAATCATTCACTTACGAAGAATCTCTCAGCCACGTCTGAGCCAGCGTAACATCTTCTTCCAGCTTGGTCAACACCCACAAACAGTCAAACTAAACTGATGACTAATTACTATCTGGTATTTCAAAAGGCGTATCTCAATCAGCAAAGAAAACATAGGAAAGATAAGAAGGACAAAACCCGGACGACATGAAACAAACAACTACAGAAAAGTTATAACTTCCTTTTTTCTCAAATGGGCACTAACAGTTGCAGGAAATATTGCAAGATAACCCCTTGCCAAAACACAGAGATAACACAGGAGGCAAAGATGCACCCAAGCCTTGAAACGTTACGTTTGCATTATAAACCCCCTACTCTGTGTACAAAAAAGATCTGATTTTTAATAACCATGCTTTTCAAAAGCCATCTGACCAGAAACAGCTGCATATTTAGCAAGCAACTTATGCCATGCAAAAATATATTGTTTGTTAAATGAAATGCCACTGTAGAATAAAAACCATATGAATCATTCCATTCTGAGGCAGTGTCTCATATCTGAAAGAGAGCAGTACTTCTCCTGACTCAGAATTGCTGCCCTTCCTGACAAAACTTGGGCCTTGCAATTTTAAGGCATTTTAAAAAAGGTTTTGCACAAATCAGTTAATGCCTAATTTATTTGGTTTCTTAACACAACTCTCTCATGCAAGCCAAGCTTACATTTCCACTCCACAAGAACCTTGGCAAGCTCATGTGGCTGGCTCAGAGAGCTGGGTTCTCTCTTGGTTTATGCATAGGTAAAGAAAAAAAGCTAATTAAAATTACCTTTGCAGGGCTAAATTCCAACTCACTAAACTCTGTGAAATCCTACAGAAGAGTACATACTTATAAAGGGGCCTTTGAAATACAGAATGCAAGAAAACAGGGCTGAAAAGAGCAGGAATTAACAGTCTTTCAAGGGCGAGTGCTTGCTTGACTATATATTTTTCCTCAGATGAGATATGCTGGATGGAAAAGGCTCCACATGACTAAACAGTCCAGGTGCTGTTCACAAGGCTCTGACGAAGAGTAAAGTGAGCAGAGAGAAAATGAAGTCATGTCTCTGTGACAGTAACTTTATGTCCTGGTTTTGGCTGGGATAGAGTTAATTTTCTTCCTAGTAGCTGGCATAGTGCTGTGTTTTGGATTTAGTAGGAGAAGAATGCTGATAACATGCTGATGTTTTTAGTTGTTGCTAAGTACTGCTTACGCTAGTCAAGGACTTTTCAGCTTCCCATGCTCTGCCAGGTACACAAGAAGCTGGGAGGGGGCACAGCCAGAATAGTTGATCCAAACTGGCCAAAGGGCTATTCCATACCATATGACGTCATGGTCAGTATATAAACTGGGGGGGGTTGGCCGGGGAGCAGCGATCGCTGCTCGGGAACTATCTGGGTATCGGTCAGTGCATGGTGAGCAATTGCATTGTGCATCACTTGCTTTGTATATTATTATTACTATTATCATTATTATACTGTTACTATTATCATTACTATTTTACTTTATTTCAATTATTAAACTGTTCTTATCTCAACCCTGGAGTGTTTCTCACTCTCTTCTGATTCTCTCCCCCAACCCATCGGGGCAGGGGGAGTGAGCGAGCGGCTGCGTGGTGCTGAGTTGCTGGCTGGGGCTAAACCACGACACTTTATTAGCCATTTTTAGAACTACAGTCTCTTACCTCTTTATAGCCTCCCAGACTTTAATGCCGTCATCCCGGTAGTAGTAGTAGGGGATATCCTCTTTGCTGTCCATCCCTTTAGCTTTGATCTCCTCAGGGAAGCAGAGAGAGCTGTAAGTCAGATCTTTCATTGCTTTCTGCACCATTTGTACATGTCCTCCTCCACCTGTAGCATTTGCCTGCAGGAAGAATGGCAAGACAGGAACAGTAGGAGATTATAGAATCATAGAATCATAGAATCGTTTAGGTTGGAAAAGACCTTTAAGATCATCCAGTCCAACCATTAACCGACACTACCAAGTCCACACTAAACCAATCAAGGGTAGACTAGACTAAACCATATCCCGAAGTGCCACATCTACCCATTTTTTGAACACTTCCAGGGATGGTGACTCCACCACTTCTCTGGGCAGCCTGTTCCAATGCTTGACTACCCTTTCCGTGAAGAAATTTCTCCTAATTTCTAGACTAAACCTCCCCTGGCGCAGCTTGAGCCCATTTCCTCTCGTCCTATCGCTAACTACATGGGAGAAGAGACCAACACCCACCTCACTGCAACCTCCTTTCAGGTAGTTGTAGAGAGCGATAAGGTCTCCCCTCAGCCTCCTCTTCTCTAGGCTAAACAACCCCAGTTCCCTCAGCCGCTCCTCATAAGGCCTGTGCTCCAGACCCTTCACCAGCTTTGTTGCCCTTCTCTGGACATGCTCCAGCACCTCAATGTCTTTCTTGTATCGAGGAGCCCAAAACTGGACACAATATTCCAGGTGCAGCCTCACCAGCGCCGAGTACAGGGGAACAATCACCTCCCTGCTCCTGCTGGCCACACTATTCCTGATACAATGTTCACTTTGTGCCATGACTGGCTTTCCAAATTCGCAGGAGATGGTATTCAAAATGCTGGTGAATCTATTTTTCAAGGAGAAAACCACACCTCTACACAAACAAGTACTGAACTGCAAAGGTCTACTGCAGCTGTGCATTTTGACTTCAGAGATTTCACACTTTTCCCATGAATCACTGTTAATATTCACATTTTCTCCATAAGTACAGCACCTGCTTATAATGGAATACAGTAATAAAGTACAGCAACATTGCAGTATCGAACCCAAAGCACTTCCTGTCAGCCCTACGCTCCAGAACTGGCGTATGTGTGAAGGCAGGCAGCCAGCAGTGTATTAGAACAGGGCTTTTGCTAAACCACTCACTGCTGCTACAGAGTGATTTAGGAGAGTGTGTTTAGGGATGCAGGCTACTGTTAGCCACCCTGTAATTTAAGCCAGGAGATCAGTCCTGCTGGGTGGCTACTGATGAGGATTGGCCAGGGTTTCAGTATATGTTACATTTGGAAAACACAGCATGTCCACAACAAATGGGAGGTGAAAACTCTTCAGATAATCACTGCACAAAAGCCCCCAAATTTTGCTTTTCTAGCATATGATGCTAGTGTTGTAGCAGTATTCTGCTTACACTTATTGTTCTCTGGCCTGTTGTTCATCTACATTGGAACCAACAAATTCTGGAACTCCAGGATCCCTGCTGGCAGGTCTTAGCCAGACGCTCATCCCATGTGCACAGGGTACGCACATTATGCTTCTATTCAAAGGGACAGGAGTGTCTGCCAGGTCTCCACAGTCAGCAGTGGAGTACAGAAGACAAGGAAGGTGCCTGGATTTAACCTCTCTTTACTCCTTGGGTGAAAAACTCTGGAGCATGGAAGCTATTTTTGGTCTGGTGCTAGAGGTGTAAGGGGGACAGAGTTGTCCTGAAACACAGGCTCTCTCTTTGAAAGAACTTCAGAGACCTCCCCAAACTTCCCAGCTGCTGCTAGTGTGTTGTCACAGAGACTGCTGCATGCCAACCTGTTGCAGTTCCTAGATGCAGCATGTTGTTTCGGGTGGAGCCAAGGGAGGAAAAGCTGGGTATGTGTTAAATACCAGTGCAGTCAGATTTAGATGTTCAAATTTGACCCAAGAGCTGCACCACAGTCCATGATAAACAGCTATGTTTCACTGACTCATATGAAGCTGAGTTTTTATCCTAGCACATCTACTATTTACGGCAATTCAAGAGGACAGGCTGGAATCTACACCCAGTATTTGCAGGCTTAGAAATCTATCTTATCTACATGTCTTTCTCTTGTGATGCAAATTTCCTTTTGCAATCACAAATTCTTTTGCTCACGACCCTTCCCCAAGATGAATAATTGAGTAAGAAATGGGGGACTTAACTGTGTGCATATATGTGCAGGGATGTAGGTGCATATTATGTTACCTTGCACTCCTATACTCATACCCCAAAGCCACATCAGCTATGAGTAAGTGAGATACTGACTCATTACTGACATTGGCCAGTTCTGAATTGGCTACTTAGAGGTGAAAGACACTATCTTTAGGACAACAAGAAATGAGTTAACTTAAGGCATCAGTTCTGTGTGCCAGTTTCTCTGGTGGTATTAGTTATGTTTGCCATTTAGTAGAAAGGTCAAAAAACAAGGCAATATGTGATGGTTAAAGGATAAAAACACATATGGAACCATGAAGAATAATAAAGATTTGCAAAGGGGATTACTTACCTTGTCAAAAAGGCCACATTCACAGATAAGCTGTTCTCGGGCTTTGGTATTGATGGCTATCGTGAATCGCATGTGTGGCACCAAGAGCTGTGAAATGGACAAACAATGAAAGAAGGAAAATTCTCTGACTGAATTCAGCAGCAACCAAGTGTAAAGTTTGAAGTCCTGGAAATCCCGGTGGCTAACTGTACATTGTTTTGCAGTGCAGCGAGCCAAACTATCTCAGCTGAGCTATCACCAGGACTTCCTTTTGGTTTATCAAGCTAATGAGATAAGCTCCCTGCCCCACGTACATCCCTTCACGCAAGAACCAACCTTGAAAAGGGGATGCACAGCAGGCAGCTGCCGGAACATAGCTATGCTGAACACCTCTGAGACTAAGTGGGTCCGTAACAGATGGGTCACTGTCTGATGAATGTGGAAATCAGATGACCGAACCCAAATTTTAGCTAACAGCCAGTCATATGTCTCATCTGAAGGAAGGAATATGGGATTGTCTGGCCCAGGCTTTTGACCAAGCTGAAAGATACAAAAAGAATATGAAACCCCAAGTCATTCGTGTTTAAGATGAGACAAAAGGAATGTGTCCCTTTAAACACCCTGACAGTAAGCCCACCTGGATTGCAATGGGTACAATTTTATTCTCCAGATTCTTATACAGCAGACAGATGGGTGCAGTCAAGTACTGTATTGTGCACGGGTCTGTTTTGTTGGCATCCACACCATCTAGCAGCTCATAGTCCACAATGAAAACATTTCCTTGCTGGGGGGGAAAAAAAAACCATGATGTCTTTTAACGGAGTACAAGCAGCAGGGCTCAGAACAAAGGCTGGGAAGTCTCAGCCAGAGGCTAGCTTGTGCCTTGTGGTTACAAGCGACCACTGGCCTGCCCTTGCTCATGGTGGCTCAGGGACGACGCCATTGAGAGAACAAGCACCTTCACACAAACTACCTGACTTGTGTCTGCTGAGCCTGATAGCGAGCCTTTCAGCAAAGAGCGACTAAGTACTGGCCATTCATGCAGCGACACTAAGGTGCAAACGAGTTTCACACTGCCGGCTGAAGAGATCCCTGTGCTCATCATACAAACAAAAGCAAGGCACCACCCTTGCCAACCCTTCTTCAGCATCTTAGTTCAAGTCTGCAGGTGACAAGAGGGTAAGACCCTACCAGGAAAGGGAGAGACCCTTTGCCCCTCTGAGGCAGATGGTCAATCCCTAATCTTTCAGACGAAACCACTGGAAAAGATCCCTTCACCTCCTGGTGACATCTCTTTAACTGGACCTGGAGAAAGGCATGGCCTGCAGCTCCAGGATAGCAGGAGAAATCAGTCAACAGAAGTGTTGCCAGCCTGCAGAGGCAACCAGCTTTGCCCTGACCAACCACAGGGCCTGAAGAGAGGAGATGTGACTGAAGGCAGTTAGAAAAGGGTTTGGATGTTAAAGAATACGAGAAGGAACAGATGAAGTCCAACCTCACTCAGAGCCCTACCTTTACTTCCTCCTCCAGGGTCAGGTTCCTCTCCAGACTGCATTCTACCATATCCGTAGTCACAGGCAACTTCTTGGGTATCTCTGTGCATTTCCGGATCAGCACAGGATTGCATCCATTCAGGAACTGGTAGCCAAACATAAAATCTTCTTTCCAGTGCTGCATCACGTATTCTAAAGGAAAAACAAGCCTGCAGCATCAGTGTCTGCACTGCATCAATATCCTACTGCACTGTAGGATTCCTCCTTTCCTCGCCACCTTTTGTTATACTGCACTGCAACTTTGACTGAAGAAAGTAGCAAGAAAATTATTCAAAAGTTGCCACAGAATTTTTAGAAAAATCACTTAAGTTAAATGGACAATGTAATATTTGCTTTTCACTTTGAGAAGAATTACATTGATAATAATTAGTTTCTCTGTGTACAGAAGCAATGAGGAGTAAAATATTCCACTCCTATGAAAAATACTCTATCTGCAGACCACCTTCTTAGGTCTTCCATGACATTTTAAAATTTCACTCTTTAAATTTGCAGGGTATGCAGTACAGAGGGACGAGTCCAAAAAAGATAGCACAGGCAGGGGAAGGGAAGTACAAAGCAATGTGTGTAG